GGTTCAGTACTAGGAAAGGTTGCTGTGCCCCAGGGAACCTATCTTTAATGCTGAGAGAACTAAAGGCATCTCTCCTAGTCCATCTACTGGTGGTCCAGGAAGGTAGTAAGACACTGGCCTTTAAGTTCCAGGAGGACAAGAATGTTGGGCTCCACAGGAACCTTACATAGTACCCAGCACTTAATAGATGCTTAGGGAAATATGCTTTGGATTGAAACCTGCTTAGTTTGGCCTTGTTTCCAGGATGCCTGTGAGCTGCTGCCATCTTGGGCTTGTAAGAAGGAAAGCGAGTGATGAGAGCACTGGGGTGAGTCAGAAGTCTAGATCTAACCCTAACTCTGCTCTTAAATGCCTGATGACTTGGAGTATGTTGTTTTTTCTCTGTGTACCTCAGTTTCCAAGTATTAGCTGCAAAGTATCTTGTACAGAGTCCAGGCGCTTCCTAGGTACTCAGTGAGAGTCGCTTTCTTTTTTTTAGCTCCTTGTGGGATGTTTGGAGTCAATTTACACGTGAGAAAGTATTTTTTTCTTTCTTCTCCACATACCCTTGTCAAACCCTTTTCAGGCTGAAGCAAAGGCAATGTGTGTGTGTTGTAATGTATATGTGTGTGTAATGTATGTGTGTGATGTGTACATGTGTATGATGTATGCATAATGCATATGTGTGTAATGTGTGTTTGATGTTGATGCATGTGTAATGTGTGATATGTATGTGTGTGATGTGTATGTATGTGATGTGTATGTGGTGATATGTGTGATATATTAGTAAGTGTGATGTGTACATGTCTGTGATGTGTATATGTGTGTGATGTATGTGATGTATAGGAGTATGTGATATGTATGGGTATGTGTTGTGTATGTGTGATGTATACATGTGATGTACATGATGTGTATGTGTGTGATGAGTGTGTAATGTGTGATATGTATGTGTGTGATTGTATGAGTATGCATGTGTATGTGACTCATATGTATGTGACATGTGCACACATGTGTACATGTGTGTATACAGAAGATTGGAAACAACAAGTGTAAAGAGATTTTTTTCAGTGCTCAGGCCACCAATTTATTCTCTTGTCTACGCTGATTTCTCATCTTTATTATTAATGGTCTTATAAGGGGCCTCAACCTGAGAAATCAATCAGTTCTGATTGATTGACAGAACACTTCCCAGACATGCTAAGAATCACTTCAAAGGACTGTTACGATCCAGGTTACCAGGAAGGGAAATCTTGTCTCCATGGAGGCACCTGTGGGAGGAGGGAACCCAGCTCTTTGCCTTCCTAAGCTACTTTTGCTTCTTCAAATGCTTCATTAAATTAAGTAGGAGCTGGGGCCAGCTTCCATGTTGGCTTTAGCTGGCCTTTTCCCTAGGGGAGAGCTGGGAGACTGTCTATAATCACTTCCATTAGCAGTTGGCAGCTCCCCAGTCTATTTCATTACCTGGACCAGCTCAGCCCTGACATCTGCTGGACCTGCTGTGATGCTCACACATGAGTGGAAGCTGCATCTGCTAAACTCTTTATTCCTCACCCTTACCCCATGTGATGGACCTTTGCGCAAGCTGGCATACATACCTGAATCTCTCACACTGTGACGCCTGGAAAGATCAGCTCCAGGAACTGCTCCTCCTAATGACAGCAGCTTTGCTCCCTGGCACTTACCAGAGTGAAGTATGCAAGGGGAGCAACACTGAACACGGCCTCAGAAAGGGTCCCAGCCCAGAAAACAGCAATTCGTGGCCCATGCTATGAATAAATGTTCCCTTGGAGGTTAAGATGTGAGCTAAGTGGAATTATGATGTTAGCTACTTTACCTGAGTACCTACTGCATATTGGACCCGAAATAGCATTTATCTTGTATATATCAAAATTTCATTTCTTTTTATGGCTGACTAATATTCCATCGTATGTATATACCACAATTTTGTTATCCATTTATTTGTTAAGTATAAAACTACCTGGGAGTGGAATTACTGGGTCATATGGATGAAGATTTCACTTTCTCCACATCCAAACCAACACTTGCAGTTTTTCTTTTCTTTTCTTTTTTTAGGTTACATCCATCCAAGTAGGTGTGAAGTGGTATCTCATTGTGGTTTTCATTTGCATTTCCCTAATACTTTCCTTTCTTGTACTTATTGGTCATTTGTAAATCTTCTTTGGAGAAATGTCTGCTCTTTAATTGGATTATTTGTCTTTTTGTTGTTGAGTCATAAAAGTTCCTTATATATTCTGGAAATTAAATCCTTGTCAGAGATATGATTTGGAAATATTTTCTCCTATTCTGCAGGTTGTCTTTTTACTTGCTTGGTAATGTCTTTTGATGTACAAAATTTAAAATTTTGATGAAGTTCAATTTATCTATTTTCTTTTTTGTTCCTTGTGTTTTTTGGTGTCACATCTAAGAATTCATTATCAAAAACAAGGTCATATCCCCATTTTTTCTTCCAAGAGTTTTATGGTTTTAGTTCTTATATTTAGGTTGTTGATCTATATTGAGTTAATTCTTGTACATGATTTGAGGTGTGAGTCCAACTTCATTCTTTTGCATGTGAAAATCCAGTTGTCCAAGCACCATTTGTTGAAGAGACTATTCTTTCCCTATTGAATGGTCTTGGTACCTTTGTTGAAAATCAGTTGGGCAAACATGTTTGGGTTTATTTCTAGACTCTCAATTATGTTTCATTGGTCTATATGTCTATCCTGATACCAGTACCACACTGTTTTGATTATTGTAGCTTTGTAGTATGTTTTGAAATCAGGAAGTATGGGTCCTCCTACTTTGTTCTTCTTTTTCTAGATTGTTTTGCTATCTGGGTCCCCTTGCAAATCCTTATGAATTTGTGGACTGGCTTTTCCATTTCTGCAAAAAAAAAAAAAAAAAAAGGGCTGGTGGAATGCTGATAGGGATTGTGTTGAATCTGTAGATCACTTTGGGTAGGATTGACATCTTCATAATATTATGTCTTCCAATCTGTGAAGATGTGTTTATTTAGTTCTTTAGTATTGTCCCTTTTTTATGGTTGAGTGATCTGAGACTCAGGAAGGTGAAGTAACTAGTTCAAGGTCACACACAGCTGTTAAGTAGCAGATCTGGAACCACCAGCTGCAGAAGGAATGCTCTCACCACCATAACTCTGCCTTGCATGAAGATGGAACATAAAACTTTTCAAAGATTGCATATGCCAGGTGGAGATGGAAATAATGTAGGTTGTGAGTTCTAAATCTCCCATCTCTCATCTATTTGTTGTGCAGACTAACCTCCCAGAGACTAGAGAAAGCAGGTTCAGCTCTAAGTAACCCTTATGCAAGAGGTAGATTTAGGTCACTCCCTGGGAGAGGCAAGACCTAGAACAACTAACCACTGTGGATCCACTGCATATCCTCTCTCACATACTGTGTAGGAAAATGAGCCCCAGCAGCAGCAACAGCAGTAACATTAAAGGTAAGGCAGTCAAGGCATGGAGCATGCAGCCTGAAGTATGTGGAGAAGAAGAGACAGATAAGCTGTCTTCCATCGATGGGGCTGGGAATGGGATGTCTGCATTATATATCAGCCTCAGACCTGTTTTGAGCCTCAGTTGCTCTATATATTTCCTTCTTGCCAAATCACCTAAAGCCATTACTTCCACCTGCCATCCAGAGATCAAGGAGCTCTGGTAGCACAGTGACTAAGGCATCTGACTGTTAACCAGAAGGTTGGTGGTTCAAACCTACCAGCCACTCCACAGAAGCAAGACTGGACAATCTACTTCCATAAAGATCTATTGCCTTGGAAACCCAATGGAGGTCGCTATGAGTCGGAATTGACTCAATGGCAATGGGTTTTTATTGGTCCAGAGATCCAGACCCACTCACAGACTGGGGCGAGTAAGCATGAGTTCACAAGCTTGTTGGTGCAGACCCATTGACAGCATTCATCCAATCACTCCCTCTGTCCACCGCTACAGGCTGTCACATTCACCATCACTCCCTTTGGGCCTTTATTTTTATCAAGGTGCCATACCCCTAAATGCCCCTTTATTTTCCTCTCTGCTAAATACATCTTCCTCTTATTTCCAATTGTTGTTTTAGAAATTTCTGAAAATACCAAAGCTCCACCCAGCTGGGCCACTTGAACAAACCTTTTACCTTCTCTTTCTTCCTAACCAATTCTTTTCAAGATATAGCTCCACCCACTAGAAATTGGGACCTCCCTAAATGTGCCTTACTGAAACCAGGACTGGACAGGTGAATTTGTAGAAATATGTGTCTGGGACAGCTTTTTTTTTTTTTTTTTAAATCAGTATGGCCTGGCACCTTGTTTTGAAGTGCCTTATGGAGAGGCAGTGGCCGGTGGAAAGAGCACTGGACAGGGTAGAGGTCAACACTATCCTGTCTGCAAAAGATGCTTTGGCTGACCTCGTGCAGAGGCCAGAACCTGTGCGCCTGAGCCTGGTGCTCAGCAGGGCCTGGTCTACACTGAACCCAACCTGTTCAGTTGGTGGGACATCTCCAGGAATCCTGTGCTGCAGTGTAGGTCTTCCCATCGCCTAACCTACAGTGTCCCTACTCATTCCGGCGGCTGCCTCCTCCTCCTCTCTCAGCCTCCTGGCTTACAGGCTCCCCACCCCTTCTCCCTTTGTCTTCCTGCTGATCCAGCCAGCCAGGCTTTCTCCTTCTCTGATCTCTCCTCCTCCTCTCCCCCTTGAATCCAGTCCTGGTTTTCCCGCCGCCAGCCTCCCTTTCCTCCTCTCCTGGGCTTGCTCCCCGCTCGCGTCTTGCTCGCCTCATTGTGGTCTGTTCAGCACCGCGCCTTCTCCCGCTAGCAGCTACCCTGGGCTTGGCCCGCCCAGTCCGGTAGCTCCAGTCCGGATCTCGCTGCTGTCCGACCCGGGTACGAGTCCCAGCGGCTGGGGAGGAGGCGGCGGCGGCTGGCCCCAGCTCCACTGGGCCACCTCGCTAGCCCAGGGTTGGCGAGGAGGGAGCAGCTGGGCAGTCCCCGGAGCCTCTCGGAGGACAATGCACCCAGCGCTCGGCAACCCCCGTTCGGTCTCGTCCTTGTCCGGCTCCTTCCCGCCGCCCCCAGCCGCCGCCCGGCTGCAGCCCTTGTTCCTCCGGGGGGGCTCCTCCCGCGGCCGGAGAAGCTCGGGCGACAGCAGCACCAGCACCAGCACCAGCAGGGGGGGAGGCGGCGGCAGACGCGGCGGGGGCGGCGGCGGCGGCGGCTCCCCGAGCAGCAGCACGGGCGCCGAGCGAGAGGACGACGACGAGAGCATCAGCATCAGCAAGCCCCTGGTGCCAGCCGCCACCGCCGGGCTCCCTGGGCCCTCGGTTCAGGGGGGCGCCCCAGCCGCGGACTCTGCGCCCACTGCTTTCTCCTCCTCTTCTGCCACCTCGTCTTCCACTTCCACGCCCACCTCCTCCTGCAGCATGACAGCCGCGGACTTCGGCGGGGGCGCTGCGGCCGGGGCCGTCGGGGGTCCTGGGGTTCGATCGGCTGGGGGAGCGGGAGGGACCGGTACCGGCAGCGGCACCTCCTGCTGCTCGTGTTGTTGCTGCTGCGGCCGCTCCGCCCGATCCGGCCGCAGGGGTCGGCGCCGTGGCTGCGCCCCAAGCCCCGGGTGCCGCTGGGGTTACCAGGCGCTGTCCGTGGTGCTGCTGCTGGCGCAGGGCGGTCTGCTGGACCTGTATCTCATCGCTGTCACTGACCTGTACTGGTGCTCCTGGATCGCCACTGACTTAGTGGTGGTGGTGGGCTGGGCCATCTTCTTCGCCAAGAACAGCCGGGGCCGTCGGGGCGGCCTGGTGAGCGGCGCGCACAATCATCACCAGCACCACCACCACGCCGCGCCGCCTCTCCACCTGCCTGCTGCCTCGGCCGCGTCGGCCACCTCCTCCGGGGCTGCGGCCGGGGGCAAGGCCCGTGGCGGCCGCGGGGGCGCCGGTGGCCCTGGGGGCGGCCTGGGAATGGCCGGGACGGCGGGCGAGTTTGCCTTCGCCTACTTGGCCTGGCTCATCTACTCCATCGCCTTCACACCCAAAGTGGTGCTCATCCTGGGCACGTCCATCCTGGACCTCATCGAGTTGCGTGCGCCCTTTGGCACTACGGGCTTCCGCCTCACCATGGCCTTGTCTGTGCCTCTGCTCTACAGCCTGGTGCGAGCCATCAGCGAGGCGGGAGCCCCCCCTGGCTCGGCGGGACCCTTACTCCTGCAGCCCCAGCAGCACCGCGCTGCGGGCTGCTTCCTGGGCACGTGTCTGGACCTGCTCGATAGCTTCACTCTGGTGGAGCTGATGCTGGATGGCCGCGTTCCGCTGCCAGCGCACCTGCGCTACTTGCTCATCGCGGTCTACTTCCTTACTCTCGCCTCGCCGGTGCTCTGGCTCTACGAGCTCAACACAGCAGCCGTGGCAGCTTCGTCCTGGGGCCAAACCTCGGGGCCCGGGAGCTGCAGCCGCCTCCTGCGCCTGCTGGGCGGCTGCCTTGTGGATGTGCCCCTGCTGGCGCTGCGCTGCCTTCTGGTGGTGAGCTACCAGCAGCCCCTTTCCATCTTCATGCTCAAGAACCTCTTCTTCCTTGGCTGCCGCGGCCTGGAGGCGCTGGAAGGATGCTGGAACCGGGGCAGTCGGGCCTCCCCCAGTCGGGCCAGGGGAGGCTATGGCGCTCCGCCTTCTGCCCCACCACCGCCTCCGCCACCGCCACCACCTCAGGGAGGCTCCCAACTGGGCCACTGCATCTCAGAGAATGAAGGGGGTCCCATAGCTATGTAAATACCCTGGCTGTGGCCTCCCAGAATTGAGAGGGATAAAGGATGGGGGGACCTTGCTTTTGAGCTGAGTATCCCGAGCCCTCTTGTCTTTGATCCTTCTCTCAGATTTGGTCAGACTAGTTTGGAAGAGGTAACTGTTAATAGGGCTAAGGGCCAGTGTGTCCTTCACTGCCCCTTGAGACAAGACTGCTTGGAAGGAGCCCAGCAGCTAATGGTGAGGGAGGTAGGTCCACTTGTCCTATTCTCTCTTCTCCACACCCTACCTACCCTTATCCTAACCGCCAAGGGGCTGGATACTTCTGCTTCTTGCTTTTCTCACCGCCACCCTAATTCCCATCCATTGTGAGGGAAAACAGAGGAAAGGGGTGCCTAGGCTGGGGGGTGTTGGGCATTGGACCTTCCTTCTTGCTTGGAAGTGCCAGCCTCTTCTAGGATGTGGCTAGTGGTCATGATCTCACACCTTGAAATTGAGTCAGAATCCCTTGATGTGTCTATTGGATATCTTCCCAATGGTAGATGCAGTGTGTATGTTTCTGTGTGTGTGTGTGTGTGTGTAGTGTTTTTTTCTTGTGTCCACTCTATGGCCCTTTGCAATGGGTAGGAGGTCTGGGGAGGCCCTGCCCTCTCCACCATACATACCACCACCCTCTTATTTCCTACCTGAATTTGTGGCCATGAATTCCTTGAAAGAGCTGGGCTCCTGGGAGTTGCCCAGTTAGTCTCCTCCAAGAAAGAAGATCACCCAGGCTCTTCCTCAATCCTACTCCTCTCTCTCAACTTGGGAAGAGGAGGAGTCCATACTCTAAGGACCAAACTGCACCCTCTCTTGGGTGAGTGAGCATTTCTACCTCTGTGCTTTCAACTTTTGTTGCATCATGTACTGATGCTGCTTGCAAAAAACAACAATAACAACAACAACAAAACCCACAAAAAAACACTCAGAAGTTACATTCACCATAGCCACTGGATCCAGCTAGGGTTTGGTGCCAGTATGATTACAGGGTTTGTGGAGTATCAGCCATTGGCCTTCCCTCCCTCTGTCCCCAACTCTGCACCCAGAACTCTTATCCTTCCTGTGGTTTGGTGCCAGTTAGGTCAGATCTTGCTTCAGAACAATACCTTTAGTGGGGTTCCTGGATGAATGTGAAGTTGGGTCGCTCATAGTTAAGGGAGTAGGAAACCCAATTCACCATCTAATAGGAAGCTTGTAGTTCAGAAAGGGGGGTGGTAACCTTTTGCCTCTGCTCTGATTAAGAGTATCTAGAGAAAAGGCAGGCTGCATGGGGTAAGATGGCTGGCCATGCTGTCAGACCTCCCCCCTCAAGCCCTCCTCCATAGTGTTCCTATGATTGAGGTTGATGACAAAAGGCATACAGGGAATGGCCACTTTTAGTCTTGATGTAGGATGTCATGTTTGGAATGTCTGAGACAAGACTTTTTTAGGGGAGGTAAGGGTGCAGGAGGCTGGTACGGAGCAAGGCCAGGAAATACTCAACTTTCCTCCACCCCTCCATAGGATGGGGTGGGGGCAAAATTTTAAGATTTTTTTTTTTTTTTTTCCCATTCTCCTTTCTTGTGTTTGAGAAGTTTAGTGTGGTATAATAAACCCTAAATAAGGGACCATGTCTATGAATCTGGTACTGACCCTCATTCACTAGCTGTGAGTGACCCATCACTTTTATTCTCTGGGCCTCAGAATTCTCACCTTTGAAAATGAGGAGGTTGGATAAGGCCATCTCTAAGTTACCTTCCAACTCTAACATTCTTTGAGTTTATGGGTCTCCAAAGCCCTAGTCATCACGCTGTCTGTTTAGGTGGAGAGGAGAAGAGCCAGTCAGGATGGACTTGTGGAAGTCCTGCTTCTTCACTGGCTGGGAGAGCAGAGGGGAGGGCTGGCATGCAATTGCAGGGTCTGTCATAGCTGTACTATCCCTAGTTGTCTCTATAGCTCCTACCACAGATATGGGTCAAAGGTGCCAAGTCACTGACCACTAACTCAGGGCCCAGGCCAATGGCCCCATTTTGTTTTGGTCCAACTGGGACTGTCCCAGAACAAAGGGTCAACTGGGGCCTTTCTCTTCCCAACTTCTTGGGCACTTGCTGGCAGAAGAGGTCCATGCAGACAGAGACAAAAGAGGTACAATGGCTTTACCAGAATTCTCTTGAGTCTCCCCCTGCTCTCAGAGGGGGAGGGTGATAGGGGAAAATGTTTACACTCAATGCATTATCTGGCCTCCCAGCCCCTTGTCCCACTAGGTCCAATATTAACTGGCTGGATTTTGCAACCAATTTTTTTCCCCTGCCTTCCCTACTCCCCCACTACTAACTCCTCTCCTCTCCCTTTGAATTCCATGCACTCAAGGTTCTGGGGTCTGTCCCTGCATGGGCCCCAATAGCTGCTCCCTCTGTTCCCATATCCTCTCTCCAGCTTTGCTCTATTTCTCTGCTACCTAATCTCAGTGACTGTGAAAGGACATTGTGTCTGAGCCATGGCCGGCCCCTGGCTGGCCCCAACCCACCCCCCTTTCTACTGTTTAGATAGTGATCTCCCTGATGAGTGACTGTACAATCTCTGAGTTTTCTCTGGTGGGAGGCTGTGATAGGTTCCAATGAACTGCCACTTTCCTGACTGCGTCAAGAGACTCATAGCAACTGGGCCAATTCTGGCAGAGGTTAGGCCAGGCCCCTCTCTAATGGACCCCAACTCACCCGAGCATCCTGTTTCAAACATTTGGTGCAAGCACTTTGTGCTCTGAGGGCCCAGTCCCTTCTTTCTGGTGTGTTTTTCTGGGATCATTTCACTTGCTTCCCTTGCCCCATGCACAATAAGAAATGACCCCTAAAGCTTCCTTTTTATGGCTTCTTGGGCCATCTATGATGCAGGGGTCGAACCTGAGATCTGTGGTGCCCATGAGTCTGATCAGATGGTGCCTCTCACCTGAGTTTTATGCCAGGTTCACAGAAAAGAACACTGGGTTGAGACTCTAGTCCTACCTGCCTCTAGCATGTGAGCAAGTAAGGCAGTCCTCCTATCTGAGCCTCCAAGTCCTTATCTCTTTGCAAAAGGGATTGGACTTGACCTTCTCTAAGGGCCCTTTCTGTTTTAATGTGCCACGACTCTTTTTGTGGAAGAGAGCTAGCTGGCAGCCAGAGCCTGGAAGGAGGGGGAAGTGGCACCTCACTAGCATCTATTACAGCTCTTTTTATTTTTATTTTTTTCCCTCTCTCCTCTTTTTAAAAATAAAACCAGACTCTGTTCTGAAAATAAAAATCTTGAGACTTGTGACAAGCTTCCTGTGTGATTTTTTTTAAGATCTTTCCTGTCCTGGTTTCCTTACAAAATTCTTAAATGTCATTGTGACATTTGCCATCATTTCACAGGTCTGTGTTAACATTGTGGGTACATTTTGGCGATTTCCTTTTAGGCAGTTGGCATGCCATTCAGGAAGGCAGTGTGATTTTGGTTTTGACCTGGTGGGTATCCAGCCAGGTTTACTGTAACATGGTTTACTCAGAAGGACTTTCAGCCCAAGATTGACTGCCTCACTCACCCGGGTTTCATTCCCATTTCTTTCCAAGAATAGCTTACAAAGGGAGGCAGACAGTTGAGATATTAATTTTTAAATACTTTGCCCCTCTGATACCCTTGCCCCAGCCAGAAGCATAAATTGTTATGTATGAACAAAAGGAAAAATGCCATGCTTTTTTTTTGAATCACGAAGGGGCCTATTATGTCTAAGGCAGAACATTGGGTATGCACCAAAATAAAATTATAGTCTTTTTTTTTTTTTTTTTAAACACAGAGACAGTCAGTACTATCCAAACTGCTTTGTGTCCCTCAACTTTGTTGCATCTGCCTATTCTGGAGGCTCTGCAAGGGTCTGACCTAGTTGGGCTGCTGTTGTTGGGTGCTGTGAATCAATTCTGACTCATAGAGACTGCATATGATGGAGTAGAATTGCTCTATAGGGTTTTCTTGGCTGTAATATTTACAGGGGAAGATCACCAGGTCTTTCTCCCACAAAGCCACCTTTTGGTTAGTAGTCAAGCACTTAAACTATTGCACTACCAGGGCTCCTAGACTTGGTAGGACAAGGGAGGCACAGTCATAGGGTGGGAAGAGGCCAGGAGTTTAAGCTTTGCTCTGCCTCTCACTAGCTGTGTGGCTTTGGGCAAACACCTGACCTCCTGGAATTTTTGCATCATTTAAGTTTGCTCAGAAAGTTGACATAACTTGCTGAATAGGAATAAGTAATATTACCTACCTCACAAGGCTGTGGCAAAAATTAAAAGAGGTGACGTGTGCAAAATGGTCCTGTCCTTCGAGACACTTATAAACATGATGGGGAAGAAAGGGATACATCAAATAATCCAAGAATGACATCAGATCACATCTTCATTTCTTCTTAAATCTAGATGTGAAATAAAATGATTAATTTTACTAAGTATGTTATAAATATTTATAAATGTCTTATGTAGTTAAGTAAGATTGCTCTCATTGATTTTGGTCTGCTGGCACATACATGGAAGTGTTTTGTAAAAGGTGAAGTACAGGCATAGGAATGATCTATTCATGAATGGGCGACGATGGGGACCACACTCAGAGTTGAGTCTGACCTGCAGTTCTGGCCCTAGGAAGAGCACTGAAATATATCACACGGCTGACTAGATCAGGCCCTGATCCACGTCATTGTTGTTGCTATTAGCTGCTATTTAGCAGGCCCCAGTTCCTGGTGACCCCATGCACAACAGAACAAAACACTGCCCAATCCTGTACCCACCCCATGGTCGGCTGCAGACTGGATGTTGTGATCCATAGGGTTTTCGGTGGCTGACTTTCAGAAGAAGGTCACCAGGCCTTTCTTTTTAGTGATGCATGTTAGCTCATTTAAACCTCACAGCCACCTTGAAGGTAGCTTCACCTCCATTTTCTGGAGGCTCAGAAAGTTGATATAACTTGCTCAATGTAGCCCTACAGTCAGGAGGGGAACTCAGATTTGA